ATGAGGATGATGTGGAATATGGTCTCAAGCAGGGACTCCTCTAGTTAGTGTGTAATGGAAGAGATGAGGCAATAGCACATTGACAGAGAGATGGGAGTGGTCCAGCTGTTTGAGAGCACTGACGTTGAGAATATTCAACCTTGCTGGCTGGTGAGCGGCTGTTACCTGTGATAGGAGACAGCACTCAGCCACCCCGACACAGACGCTGTGTCACTGTGCCCTGGCTCTGCTGTGCCCGCAGCTCAGCAGGCTCCAAGGGGCCCCACAGGCCTCTAGACGTACCCAGCACAGAGCCATACACACTACTCGTGAAACACCCTCCCTGCGGGAATAAAGACGAATAAGAAAAGCGAGGGTTAATTGCAGTTTCTTCTGCTTCAGTTTATGTTGATCACGTTCAGTGTCTAGTTAGCATAATAGAGAAAGCTGATGTTCCCAGTGAACCTGGCACCTGACAAATTCTAAAGCTAAAATGATGTTTGTTTATAAGCCATTAGAAGAAAAGAAACATAATTAGAAATCTTTGAGATTACAGTCATGCCAATCAATCAGTTCTAGCTTCTCTCCAGTACACCCTAATTACCTCATCAAGACATCTAAAGAGCAATCGATAGTAATTATCTGATTACTATAGATCTTCATTATGTCCAAATTATCTCCCTGGGATGTCTAAAAGAAGACGCGTTGTAGTCCGGGAGGTAACTGTACCCAACAATGTATAATCCACACCCCATTCCTACAATCAACACAGATCGCCAGGGGAGTTGGAGGACATGATCAGTTTTCTTGGCAGGGATGACCACTGAAAAAAACCTAAACTGCCTATTGGCCATGACCTTGAGGTCAACAAATCTAATACAGTACCACATTTTGAGTGCAAAGTCTGCGTACGAGGCAGCCCAAGAATAAGGCTCAGTCCTTGGCTTCTTCGGCATTGACCCCGAAAGTCATGGCAAAGAGTTCTCCCAGTGAGGAAAGAGACTGGGCTGGCTCAAGCCGCTTTTTTGAGAGAAGGTACCAAGTAAAGTGCCATTTTAAAGAACATGGTGCTGGAGAACACACTCTCTCCATATTCTTAATTTCTCCATCTCTCCGCTAACCAGGAGTGACACAAAGCTGCTGCACACAGCTGGGAGGAAGCTGACTTCTCTGTCCTGTTCAGTCAGACAGGAACCCTGGTGAGAGATGAACTGCCCACCAGGACGCATCCATGCTTGGAGCAAGGTCTCTAAACATATTTGACTGCACACGCCATCAATCAAAAAGAAATCAAGCCTGCATTTTGTTTCTGTTTCTTATAAATTATGTACCTACATTAACACATCAATATGTTAATGTTATAAAATACACCTAAGGTTAAAAGCATGTGCTAAGATGAACAGACACAGAAGTCCTTAATAGTATCTATTTCTACCCCCCAAATCTCATTGGCCTGGGGGCTGTGAAGTCCATTTTGGAGACTGCTGGCTGGGGCAGCTGTCCCTCCACTAGTACTTTGGGAGAAATCAGCCAGGAGTAAATGATTCAGTAAAAAGAATCCTTACCACACTTAAATTTAACATTTTTTTTCCTGAAAAGTAGCAACTGGTATCATCGCACCCAGGATGTTCAACTTCAAGGGAACACAACAAAATAAAGGAGAAGACAATAACCAAAGCACAAATTAAAAACATTGAAGTGTGAATTAAAGATATTACGATCGAAAACTAAAACAACTCCTGGGAAACTAAAATCACCTAGAGCCACACGAGAGGGAGATGACCTGCCACGTACAGCAAATCCCATGTATAAATTTTACGTCAGAAAACAGAAGAGGTAGGCCCACTTAACAGGCTACTCAGGGTTTTGTTCCATACTGTTATGGTTTAAGTATCATAATTTCAGATATTTTATAGCTGATCCCACTTAAAATTAATGTAACATTTTAAAAAGCTTGATTCTCTGAATTCCTTTTGCATGAAATCATTTTGGTTATTATACATGATACAGAGAACATAAAAATAACAGATGTGTGAATCAACAAAATATAGCTTTAGAGTTACATGCTTTCCTCTCCTTAATCTTTCTGGAAGCATTCATTCAACACGCCTGCCAGGAACCACGTCGGGTTCTGGGACGCACACACGAGTCAGCCTCCGTCCCAGCCTCAAACCACTCATAAACCTCATTTGTGGGGAGACCGACATATAAACATGTAACCCCAACACAGTGTGCTCAGCTCTAAGACAGCTGCTTTTGGGTCCCAAAGGTTGGGATATTTCACACACCTTACGAGAGGACAGGAACCAAATATATTTAAGGTCAAAAGAGTTAGGAAGACTTAAGAAAAATATCGTGACCTTGGAAAGAAATGCCGTAACAGGAATTAGGATCACCTAGGCTCTTTGTTCTCAGAAATATAAATGTCGCCTTCCTCTGCAAAGGCGGTCCTCCCTGCCGGAAGCACCCCTGCCTCGGTGCCTTGTTCGGGCTCTGCTTCTATAGAATGGGTCCCCCTTTCTGCCTGCCTTTGTCAGTTCTATCTCCACCCCTCCAGCGTAACCTTGAAAGACTCTTGCGGGGGTCAGTTATCAACAGACATGTCTCCAGCCCATCCTTCCATGGGAACACACACGTGAACCCCATGCCGCAGGGAGCAGGCCTGTGCATCAGAGCCGGAGCCCGCCGGGATCTGGGCAACCCCGTGGGGCGGCCGCTTCCCAGTGTGGTGGCTGCTCGGAGGACGCAGGCTCCCCGGTGGCCCTGAGCACAGGCTGTGTGGATTCAAGGAGCCTGTGAGGGGCTGTTCGAAAGGCAGGGACGAGGGACTCCACAGGAGAAACAAGGAGCATTCACAATAACCAATTAAGCCAAGACATTATCCATGCCAAGCCATTAGCCCTGGCCGCTTAAGAGCCACAATAAATGCAAGCTGTTTTAAAGGACTGCGCGTACAAAGGGAGCACCTCTGGCCTGTACCCAGCCCTCCCCC